CAGTCCTGATAACACTTGCTGTCATCATTATTACTACGTCCTAGACTCATCAACCAATACTTCATCATCCTGGTTGGCGGACTGCACAGCTGACCTACCTGGCCCTGAAAACAGCCGTTGTAAATGCACTATACTTCAAACCAAACCAAAATAGTCAACAAACCAAATAGATCCATGCAAAACCAAAATGACTGCCTTTTCCAACTTTAAGACAACAACAACCACATTCCAATGCTCATCAAACACCGTCAGCCGACCATGCGAGGGCTTAACAGCCAGTCAAGGTCGTTAAACAACCCCTAGGAGTAGTAGTAGTAGTATATAGGAATCACCCTGTGTGTATCCATCTGTATACATGGTCATGTGCCTTGTAAGTGCAGTTTTTAAAGGTCTAAATGGAGATGTTGATGAAACTTAACACAGTTGTAGAAAATCACAGTGCATTTTATAAATTTTGGGAATTGCATGGAGGCAATTTTGATGTAATTTTGAAAATATTCTGTTAACTTTAGAAAAAAGATGCTTTTTAAAGAAAATATACTTGTCAATAAAAGGCAAATCTACTTTAAAAAGAAAAATGATAGAAGTTTGATGCACATTGAATCACATTGCTGGTATTCTGGGTATTAATTTGAGCCCTTAACCATATCTGTACATCAACGATTGTCAGATAAACAAGACTTAATACAAACAAATTGTCTAAAAATTGACTTCATGGTTACACTCTACCAGTGTGTATCGGTTACACTCTACCAATGTGTATCGGTTACACTCTATCAGTGTGTATTGGTTACACTCTACCAGTGTGTATAGGTTACACTCTACCAGTGTGTATAGGTTACACTCAACCAGTGTGTATCGGTTTAACACTCTACCAGTGTGTATCAGTTAACTTACTCTACCAGTGTGTATCTGTTACACTCTACCAGTGTGTATTGGTTACACTCTACCAGTGTGTATAGGTTACACTCAACCAGTGTGTATCGGTTTAACACTCTACCAGTGTGTATCGGTTAACTTACTCTACCAGTGTGTATCGGTTACACTCTACCAGTGTGTATTGGTTACACTCTACCAGTGTGTATCGGTTACACTCTACCAGTGTGTATCGGTTTAACACTCTACCAGTGTGTATCGGTTTAACACTCTACCAGTGTGTATTGGTTACACTCTACTAGTGTGTATTGGTTTAACACTCTACCAGTGTGTATGGGAAAGGGTTAATTGTCTTGACACATCACATGATAGACATCTGTCATCATCTGTCTATTGTTGAAGACTTTAAGATGATTTCTAGAGGACTTTTGATTACTTGTGTTGTTGGGTTGCTTTCTCATTGACATATATTAACCCCATCACTCTTTTCCCCTTATCTCTTTTATTTACATTGAATGTAAGGACTGTTAACTGAGTGCATGTTTGCCTAATGCATCAATGTCTGGACATGTGCAATCTGAATAATATGCAAATTTTTCAGGTATGTGTGTGTCCAAATTCTTTTACTTGGTTTTAAAGTACATACATTGTACAAATGCCTTCGAGCAAGGTATGAAATTGTCATTTTATTAGTCTGACTAAACACTTATGTAATAAGTAGGTAAGATACTTAAACAAATTTATAAAAGTTTTCCCCAAAACTAATATCCACAATTTGTCACATAATTTATACAGACAATCATGTCTTCATTAACCTTTTATACCTCAAAGTCTTATATAAGTTCACATTAAACAGGTGTATTTATACCACATCTTCTTATTTGTATTTACATTAACAAGTTCAATTATTGAAGTATATGTAACAGTAGGTAGTCCAAGATTAATATACAGTGCCTATCATATACATTATATATCTATTTAATAAACAATGAATTATACATGGTTAATATTGTCTAGAGCAGTATATCATAATGTACAACCTGTGAGTGTATTACCATATACTGTGAGGGACAATAACCCTTATATTATATAGTACCAAATATTTCACCAACATTTATACTTCCTCCAATTCCTGTCGCTATGAAGCTTGCAGTAATGACCCGATGTCAAATTCTGTCATCTTTTAATCTCTTGTCTGCTTGTATGCAAATACTGTTTTACTTGGAACCTCTCTAGTGCAGTGCAAACCTTCTTCAAGGAGAAAGTATGGGATGAAATATCGACCAAATGCAATATATTTAACTCATTGGAAATGTTCTACTTTTTAGATATATTTGTAAAGGAAGACCATTAAAAAATATCTGCAAACATTTACATTATTATTTTAATAGAAATCTACATCAAATATTCATACTATTATAATACACCAAAAGTTAAAGCAAGAATGACCAGAAATACCCCACAGTTCAGCAGAGAGAGCAGACCACATCAACTACCCACACTCCACTACTCTGAAAAAAAAATAGACGTAGTAACAAAAATTTCTTTCTACACAATATAATTTACATTGCAACCTTTGGTGTTATTTTTATACGACAGCAAAAAAATTTTGTGGTCGTATATTGGTATGACGTTGGCGTCGTCGTCCGAAGACACATTGGTTTTCGCACTCTAACTTTAGCTTATGTGAATGGATCTCTATGAAATTTTACCACAAAGTTCAATACCACAAAAGGAAGGTTGGGATTGATTTTGGGGGTTATGGTACCAACAGTTTAGGAATTAGGGGCCAAAAAATAGCATTTTTGTAACTTCCAGACATAACTTGTGTGTTAGTGTATGGATCTCTCTGACATTGTACCACAAGGTTCCATATCACAAAGGGAATGCTGGGATTGATTTTGGGGGTAATTGCATCAAAATTTTAGGAATTAGGGCCAAAAAAGGGGCAAAAAACAAGCATTTTTCTAGTTTCATGACAATAACTTGTTTGTAAGTGTAAGGATCTTTCTGAAGTTGTACTACAAGGTTCCATATCACAAAGGGAAAGCTGGAATTTAGTTTGGGGGTAATTGCCCAAAACATTTAGGAATAAGGGGCCAAAAGGGGGCCAAAAATAAGCATTTTCTAGTTTCCAGACAATAACTTGTGTTCAAGTGTATGGATCTCTCTGAAATTGTACTGCAAGTTACCATACCACAAAGGGAAGGCTGGGAGGGACTGATTTTGGGGGTAATTGCCCCAAAATTTTAGGAATTAGGGGCCAAAAAGGGGCAAAAAAACAAGCATTTTTCTAGTTTCAGGACAATAACTTGTGTGTAAGTGTATGGATCTTTATGAAATTGTACAACAAGGTTCCATATCACAAAGGGAAAGCTGGGTTTGAGTTTGGGGTAATTGCCCTAAACATTTAGGAATTTGGGGCCCAAAAGGGGCAAAAAAACAAGCATTTTTCTAGTTTCCAGACAATTACTTGTGTTCAAGTGTACGGATCTCTCTGAAATTGTACTGCAAGGCACCATACATTGTAACACAAAGGGAAGGCTGGGATTGAGTTTGGTGGTGATGAATCATAAGGGGGTTCAAAAAATTTGAAGGGGGATTTTTTTCCCCTTTTTTTATGCCCCCGCCGTAGCGGAGGGGGCATTAAGTTTTACCCTTGTCCGTCTGTACGTACGTACGTACATCCGTCCGTACGTCCCGAAATTGGTTTCCGTTCTCTAACTTGAGTTTGCCTCAACCAAATGTTATGAAACTTATACACAACGCTTATTACCACAAAACACATATCAAGTTTGAATTTTGGTGGCGTCACTTTAACCGATCTAGAGTTATGCCCCTTTATAAAAGGAAATATTGCAAAATTTTTAGTTTCCGTTCTCTAACTTAAGTTTGCCTCAACCAAATGTTATGAAACTTATACACAATGCTTATTACCACAAAACACAGATCAAGTTTGAATTTTGGTGGTGTCACTTTAACCGATCTAGAGTTATGCCCCTTTATAAAAGGAAAAATTGCAAAATTTTTATTTTCTTCTAAATATCAAGTTTATATAATATATTTTTAAAATTGGAGTTATCTTCCTTTGACCATGATTATAGTTGAATCAACTACAATCAATGCTTTATACAATGCAATGTTTAATTTTGACTTCCACTGATAAAACACAGATCAAGTTGAATTTGAGTAGTGTCACTTTTACCATTATTGAGTTATGCCCCTTTATAAATAGAAAGATTGCAAAATTTTTTAGTTTCTATTCTGTAACTGAAGTTTTCCCCAGCCAAACATTATGAAACCTATACACAATATTCATTACCACAAAACTCAGTAAGGATCAAGTACAATTTTTTTGTTTCAGTTCTCTAACTTGAGTTTGCCTCAACCAAATGTTATGAAACTTATACACAATGCTTATTACTACATAATACAGATTAAGTACGAAATTAGGTGGCAACACTTTTACCATTCTAGAGTTATGTCCCTTTATAAATATAAAAATTGCTGAATTTTTTAGTTTGTCTCAAACAAATGTTGTAAAACTTATACACAACCGTTCTAGAGTTATGCGTGTTTACAAATAGAAAAATTGCTGAATTTTTAGTTTCTGTTCTCTACTTAAGTTAGCCTTAACCAAATGTTATGAGACTTACACACAATGCTTATTACCACAAAACTCAGATCAAGTTCAAATTTGGGTAGTGTCACTTTTACCGTTCTTCAGTTATGTCCCTTTATAACTATATGATATGCAAGCGGGGGCATCATCTGTGTCCACATGTGGACACTATCCACATTTATTTCTTTATTTTCCATTTTAAATTGGTTATTTCTGATTTATATATAAAAGCAAATAATAATGATATGGTTTGAATAGGTAAATTAAAAAATTTTAAGTTCTTAGACCACATTCATTCTGTGTCAGAAACCTATGCTGTGTCAAATATTTAATCACAATCCAAATTCAGTGCTGTATCAAGCTTGAATGTTGTGTCCATACTTGCCCCAACTGTTCAGGGTTCGACCTCTGTGGTCGTAACCAGCTGCGCCCAGCGGAGCATTTTATTTATCTGTCGATTGGTGAATTTTGAATTTATAAAGTTTTATTTATTTATTTATAGTTCTGGATACAGCAGGACAAGAAGAGTTTAGTGCTATGAGGGAACAGTACATGCGGAAGGGTGATGGCTTCCTGTTAGTGTATTCAGTAACAGACAGACAAAGCTATGAGAATGTACCAAGTTTTCATACACAAATCCTTCGTGTAAAGGATCGGTATGTATATATATATATATATCTGTAACCTGTGATTATGCTTTGGTTTACTCTGTTACTGATTGAACATTGCCTACTGGTCAATAGGTAAATTATTGAAAGTGTAATGGAAAAAAAAAGCAAGAAATGTTTGTAATTGATGTGCTACAGAAAACATGACTTCTTACACTGTATATCTACCACTGTACCTCTTAGTATGGAATATTTCTTACAGCAAAGTCGTCAACAGTTTAAAACTTGTAATAAGTTGAGGAAATACCTTGTATATCATAATTCTCCCAAAATTTTAATGTCATGTAAAACTTACCTTGAATAAAAGATGACCAAAGGCAGTGAACCTTAAAATATTGGTTATAACACCTTCATTCTAGTGGCATGTGGCAGGATTAAGCTAAAAAATACAAAATAATAGGTCTTAAGAAAGTTTTTAATATTAAAAAAAGAAGTTCAAGATTTAGTATGATCTATAGGTCATGGCACAGCCTTCAACAATGAGCAAAACCAATCCCACACAATAAGCTATAAAAGGCGTGAAAGGACAAATGTAAAAAGAATTTTAACAATGAAACTATGACCGGACCTTTGATGTACTGATTAGTTTTTATACGACCACAAAAAAATTTTGCGGTCGTATATTGGTATCACGTTGGCTTCAGAGTCGTCCGCAGACATTTGGTTTCTGGACAATAACTTTAGTTTAAGTGTATGGATCTCTATGAAATTTAAACAAAAGGTTCAATACCACAAAAGGAAGGTTGGGATTGTTTTTGGGGGTGATGGTCCTAACCGTTTCGGAATTAGGGGCCAAAAAGGGACTAAAACAAGCATTTTTCTAGTTTCAGGACAATAAATTGTGTTTAAGTGTATGGATTTCTCTTAATTTGTACCACATGTAACAAAAAAAAAAATCTTCAAAATTATTTTTTTTGGAAAAGGGGGGGGGGGGGGGGGGGGGGGGTAAACAAAAAAAATTTTTTTTTTGGGGGGGGGCAGTTTTTTTAAAGAAAATTCTCAAATATTTTTTTTTGGAGGGGGGTAAAAAAAAATTTTTTGGAGGGTCAATTTTTTTCCATCAAGATTTAAGAAATTTTCAATTTTCCAAAGAAAAAAAATAATTTTGCTAATTTGTTTGTATATAGTCTGAAAACAGATTTACTAAGTATTGCGCAACAGCACAGTGTATTTCACAACAGCAAGAAATCTTCAATTGAATATAAATTCAAATCATATAACCAATTTCAAGTTCTTTGACTACATTTATTCTGTGTCAGAACCTATAATGTGTCAAATATTTAATTACAATCCAAATTCAGACCTGTATCAAGCTTGAATATTGTGTCCATTTTTGCCCCAACTGTTCAGGGTTGGACCTCTGCGGTCGTATCCAGCTGCGCTCGGCGAAGCAGATTATTAAAATTATCAAGAGTGACAACTATTATATAATTTGACACTAATTAATAAGGGTAAAATACCTGACAGAGTACCTCACATTCTTATATTATTTGACACTTATTGTTAAAACTAACATATACTGTTATTGACCTGCCTTTCGATAAAACATAGATCATTCACAAGAAGCTTTAGCTATTAGAAAGTACTGAATGCATCCATAAATTTAAGCGAAATTTTCATTTATCCCCCAAATAAGTGAAAAAAAACTCTGCTATACGGTATGATATACAGCAAAAAACAACAATAACTGAATTACAGGCTCCTGGCTTCAGACAGGCACATATAGAATGTTACGGGGTTAAATATGTTAGCAGGCACCCAACCCTCCCCTAAACCTGGGACAGTGATACAAAAGAACAACACAAGAACAAGCTGTACAAAACAATAAATGAAAAACAAAAATGATATACAACAAGAAACAACAACCACTCAAAAACGCTAATGACTTGAGACTTCTGACTTATTGTGGATGAATACATACTTTAAAGCTGAGAGTATTCCAATATGTCCAATTGTCTTAAACTGTCTTCAGGCAAGAAACTAAAAAACTAAAGTTCTTAGTTATCCATATGCATGTTGTTTATAAACATACATTTTTTTCATAAATAAAACATTTGAATATGATTTTGTTAATGATTTGCAGAGATGACTATCCTATGATTCTGTGTGCCAATAAAGTAGACTTGGTTAGTCTGAGGAAAGTATCTGAGGAGGCTGGGAGAGATATGGCTTCACACTTAAGGGTCAGTATTTATACCAACCTTACAGTCCAACAATAAATTTAAATTCTTTCTATGAAATCAAAACATATTTGGGTTTGATTTAGTATTACTGTGGATTCATTATTGTTCGTTGGATACCAATTTTCGTGGATTTCGTGGTTATAGGTTAACCACGAAATTAAATGTTCAACAAATTTCAAATTTACTATAGGCTTGTATGCAGACATAGTCAAAAACCACGAAATTAAATATCCACGAACATGGAGGTTTTCCTGAATCCACGAAAATTGGTACCCACGAAAATAAATAAATCCACAGTATCAAAGTTTTAAGCATATGCAGTGAAATTTCATATACATTGTAATAAGAAATAGTTTAAAATTCTATGGTGGTGAAAAGGAGATAAAGATAATGTTGACAAGACAGCAACCCAGTAACATGAGTGAAACAATATAGATTGCTTCAGTCCATCTGAGCTTACAATCAATTGATATTTTATCCATGGACAATGGGGAAACTGTTCTGACTATTGATATGAGCATTCATAAAGTATGTGATGTATATTCCTACCCTTTTCTAATAAGATGTATTCACTTTAATTTGTACTTTACGTTTTACTTATTGTAGATTCCATATTTAGAAACTAGTGCTAAAGAGAACATAAATGTGGATCTGTCCTTTCATGAACTGGTCAGAGTTATAAGGTTAGTCAATTTTATAAGTGGATTTAAATTAAAATGTACTTTCACATGCTATAAGTAATAGTTTTTCCAGGAATAAGTTACTAGGTTTTTATTATACCTGCAGTTGTTGAAACACACTGTATATCAAAATATAAAGCTATGCACATAAATATATGCTGTTTTTACATGTATATTCAATATGAGAAGAGTGCAACAATGTTATATTCAATTGTAAGCATTAATATTTTAATTTTTATAAATGAATGCTTGAATATGTTGTGTGATTTTATTTGTCACACATTTTTTGTAGATTATTGACTTAAGCAGCTTTGTATTGAGTTAAATGTTTATGAAAAGGAAGCATTGTGGGTTTTTTAAGGAAAAAAGTACAATATTCACTTCTATTAAGTGCATTGCTATATAATTTTTTAAATTGTGACATAATCTGTAGATAAACCTGATGGTTATATAATTTTAAGCTCACCTGTACCAAAGGGCTAATGGCCATTGCTTTCACGTGGCATTCAACATGCATCTGTTACAGGGTCATAAAGTTTTTTTTACCATTTTCAAATTATTTCCATGACTTTTCTATGATGTTTTTTGAAAATATCCCCAAATGATAAAAAAAAAACAGACAAAACCCTTGTAAGCAAAGAGAAATGGTTTATGCTAAAAACATACTTGTGTGCCCCATTTAAATCTTGTAACAACCAGTAATCTTGTTACTGTAAATTCAGAAATTATTGCGTGCATTTATTATTGCGATTTTGTTGTTTTAAACTAAAATGCGATTTAAATTTTTGCGATATTGAAAACAAATCCTGTTTAATTCATATAAAAAATTTTCAAATGCGAGTTTAAATTATTGCGATTATAACCATGTCGCATTTTTCGCAATAATAAAAACATCGCGATAATTTCTGAATTTACAGTAACACAATAAAGTAGTTTTAAAGCACTGAAACATAATCAGAATTACTAAACTTAAATAGGAATAGGAGTGTACTACAGGTGTTTATTTATGAATTAGACCTACTCTTATAGTTTCAATGAAAGAGGATAACCTACACATTTAGTATTAAAAACATTAGTAAATTTATAAAAGTTTCCAAATTATTTGATAAATACTTTTGTTCTTCAAATTAATTTATCCATTTCTTTATCATTTTCTTCATTAAATATTTTTGAATGATCATTTTAAGACACTTTCAGCCTTCAAAAGACAATGTTCTGTTTAAAATCTGATTGATATTATATATAATTAAAAGATACCATGTAAACCATATAGTCTCTATGGAGATTGTTATTTTAAGTGTTGCCACACCTTCAGCAGACTTATAAAAAAGATTAACATAATCATTTGTAAACTTTTGCAGTATAAAATATTGCATAATTACTAACAACAACAGTATAATACTAAGATTAGTCCATATTGTTCTGAATATCTATCAATTAATTCAGGTCCTATGTTAAGCTTTCAAACATGATACAGTAGTGCCTAACCACCAAATCAAACATCAACAGACATACCATTTTTCCTCAATCCATAAATTTATGAATTCACAGTATATATTTTGACACTAGGTTATTCTGCCTGCTGCTTTTTACACTGTAAATATTTATTAGAGAATAATCTTTAGCACATTACAATGATACTCTGATTACTATCCTATAATTAGTTATTGAAAGTTATAATCCTTAAAATGAAATGTTTGATTTGATTTTTACAGGCAACAGCCTCCTGATTACAAGAAAGAAAGACGACGTCTTGGGAAGAAAAAGAGGAAATGTACCATACTGTGATCATCATCAGACTTGTCCCACCTGTTTATGTACTTACCATGATTGTAGAAGTTGACAAATATTCCACATAATTAGTTCTGTTAATTTTATGAGCACAAAAATCTAGTCATCAATTAAAAGAATATATAAATAAATGTGTATAAATATGTTAATATCATGTGTATAAATTTGTTAACATGAATAATGTCTGGAAGCCACATGTGGACACATTTGAGAATTTCAGTGAATTGATCACAATATATTTTATTCCTTTAAAAAACAATTTAAAAAGCATTTATCTCATTCCTGTATTCCAATTAGTTACACTGAAAAAATATGAAAGATAAAACAATTAAATAAAATTCATTTTTTTCATAGGGAAATGATAAGATGTTTAATAGATTTAGAATATATGAAAACTAAATCCAGATAATACCATAATGATGAATTCATGATCGTCCTGGATTTTATTCCCTATTCCACTGCCTATCTTGGCAGGGACTGGTAAATTGTTTTTAATTTTCTCAAGTGGCACAACCATTAATTTTTAAATGCATAATCTGTCTAGAAGGGGAGACAACTGGAATATGACTAGAAGTTCATTGATGTTTCAATGTTAATACATAAAAGTTATGATTATAAAATATTGTTAAGTTTCAGTTGTGAGTATTTTTTATAAGGTTATTTTGTTTATGGTTGTAACTTGCTAGTACGCCTAGTTATTGTTTAAGTGTACAGAGTTTGGAACAGAGAAACCACAAATATATACAAACTGGAATTTTTTATTAACAAGGAAGATAAATGTCCTTCAAAATTGGAATTTTTATGTCAGGAAAAAAATTACTACCTTCAAAACACATATTTGGTCATGTATATTATTTTAAGAAATGCAACATTAAGCTTACAAAAACCTAGATAATTTATTACGAATATTTGATGTTGATAAATGTCTAATTTTTTGCCTTTTTAAAATTACATGTAATGTTTTAACTACCTTCTGTGTTAAATAAATCACAACCAGAGCTAAGGACATTCCAAAGAAATGAACTGTTTTACAGGTTTTGTTTTCAAGGAATCATATACAGATTTCATTTGAGCAATTAAAAAAGTTATTCAAAAGTCTAAACAGGCCAAATCATATATTTATATCTATCACTGAAATTGAAGCTGGTCATTTACCTGTAAATAATTACATTACATATATGTTTCACGAGAATTTCTTAAATTTGATTGGCTAACAACAATTGCGCGTCATTCAAAAATTAACCTTCATATCAAAATGAAATGTTACATTCGTGATGACACGTGCTTCTACAAAAAGTGCACAGGTAAATAAAAGGAAAACTTGATAAAACTTTTTTTCATGGTCTTATTAGCATAAAAATGTAATATAAGAAAAGAATGCTTCTTTTTGTATTTTATTGGGGTATAAAAGGGTTGATTGTGCACACATTTCTAGAATGAAGTGCTTGTGCGCTTCATACGAAATGTGCTTCAGTCAACACTTTTACATCCAATAAAATTACAAAAAGAAACATTCATTTCTTAAATAACTGTATCAGTTTTTTTTTTATATACAGTCCATGATAATGATGTTCTTTATGGTTGTATGTAATTAGAGGAAACAAAACATTTATCTGACTTTACAAGATCAGTTTATCACCTGATGTAGGAAAGAACAAATCATAAGAGTTAATTGTTATTATTAATTGGATTAATGATTTGATTATGTTATATTTATATTTTTTGTTGATTTGTTTTATATTTTAACTTGGTGCATTACTCCTAGGGCTTGTTTATATTACATTTGTGAATACGTAATTGATGTTAACCGATCATTTTAATAACATGTATGTAAATCATAAATCATGCTTATTTTTGACAAACCTTACATCTCCTTTATTCCATTATAGTTGCAATAATTGAATGATTAGACTTTTCAGAAAATTGTAAAATAAATTAAGATATTGAAGTTAACAACATTAATTTGCTTACATATTGTAATCTTTATGGACAATGTTTTAGAGTGGACAGGTGCTAATCATGTGTAAAGCGAAAAATGATTCAAAAGAAAATGAAAAAAATTAATTTGGTTCTCAAAATAGTTGAAAAACAGGCAAATTAAACCCTTAATTTCCAAATTTAGCTAGTTTATAACATATAGCATACAATATATGTAACACTGACTCAGTTCAATACAATTTCAATAGATAAACCAGATAAATATGGTCCATAAATAAACCAGATAAATATGGTCCATAAATAAACCAGATAAATATGGTCCATAGATAAACCAGATAAATATGGCATATCTTTGCGGGCGTCATCTGTTCATTCAAAATATGAGATTGATTTATATGGTCAGGAGTTAGCATTTGACCCCCCATGTGTAGGAATTTTTAAAGGCGCTACTGGTGATATACACAAGTCATTTTAATTTTGATCTCTTGAATATATTTTTACAAAATTTTAGTCAGTGTAGAGTAAACTAGCCAATATAACTTATACATAGAATTTTACTGTTAGAATAATCATAGTTTATCATCCGCTCAATGTTTATAAAGTTTTCTACAAAACAAAGATTGCTAGCCATATAAGTCTACCACCATCAAACAGTTAAGATAAATTTAGTTAGAAAGTAATAGAAAAAGAATCTTCATTCTTGAAATACTAATTTAGGTAAAATTACTTCTATGTTACATTGATCTCAATTAAACTGTTATTCCCTTTGTGTTCAATGCAAGCCCATTGATGTTTGTTTAAAGTCCAAAAACCCAAAGTCTTACACAAAATTAAAATGATTTGATCAACAATGTAATTGTATTGTGGTGATTTGAATTATTGTTATTTACGATGTATGGTTTGTAATTATTCCAAAATTTAGCTACTAATAATGTGTCATACATGGATCATTTTGCTGGTAGATCCTTTCCATATTTGTGATGACAGTGATGTTACATGAGTATTAGGTTGTAAGACACCTTTTGTATGCCTATAAAAAAACCATGAAACCTTTTGCAATAGATTTACCCGTTACACGAACAACTTTTTACATTTGATTTTTATACTAAAATCCGAACAAAGATTTACTGTAAATTTATAAATACTGAAAACCTTATAACAAACTTTTAAGGAGAACATGAGAATAAACTTTTAAAGGAGATTTGAATACTAATAACCTGTGAAAAAACTTTAACATTAGATTTAATTACTAAAAACCTTTGAAAACACTCTTCCAGTAGATTTATTTACTTATAACAAAAAAAACCCAACTTTATAGTAGATTTATGAATACTGAAAACATTGAACTTTTAAAGTAGATTTATTAATACTGCACACCTTTAAAACCTTCAAAGCAGATTTAGATACTAAAAATATGAGAATGAACTTTTACTTAAGATTTGAATACTAAAAACCTGTGAAGAAAACTTTTACATTAGATTCAATTAATAATAAACACAAACAAACATTTACAGTTGATTTATAAATACTGAAACCCTTTGAACAAACTTTTTAAGTAGAATTAGAAATACTGAAAACCTCTGACTTTTAGAAGAGAGACAAAGAATACCAAAGGTACATTCAAACTCATAAGTCGAAAATAAACTTGACAGCGCCATGGCTAACAAAGAAATAGACAAACAGACAAACAACAGTACACAAAACACAACAGTAGATTTATAAATATTAAAAACCTTTGACGTTTTAAGCAGATTTATTTAATACTGAAAACTTTTGCAACATTTTAAGCAGATTTATATACTAAAAACCTTTGCACAAACTTTTACAGCAGATTAAACTACTAAAAACCTTACATGAACAATTTTTGTTTGTTTAAGAAACCATATTCCCTGTTGTGCCATATTATAAATGATGTATATATTATAATGTTAAAATCACTGTTGAATGAATAATTAGAAACACTGGTTATAATATGTTTATATTTAAAAGTGTTCCTACACAGATATTTATATGGTAAGGAGCATCCATTGTTTATCCTTTTGAACTTTGTTTACAAAATATGCTGGCACAACCATCTGCCATGCAATTTAAACAATACAAAACAATTATTTTACCTAAGTTGAAATTTTAATTAACAGATTTTTAAACTGTTTATGGCAGTATAAGTTTATGTTTTTGTTGTTTTTGTTTTGAGGCAATATTACATTCCAGAAGTTAGAACCTCTTTTGTTTTCTTTTAACCTCATACTGCATGTACATTCAATTATATAGTTATAAATGATGTTATAGATAATTCACACCATGTTTTATTTTTAGAGTTTATTGACACATATTATTTGTTATGTTAATATAATTTTCAGTCTATCTCTTATATGTGAGAAAATTCACTTTTTATCTGTCTTTTGACATGATTTTGAGTAGATATATTTCATTCAATAATTCCCATGAAATACCGTTAAATCAGAGGAAGGGCAGTGCAAAAAGTGTAGATTTTTATGTTCATACATAATTGCAAGGTCATTTTCAAGGTATAAAAAGTTGATAAATTAGGATTTTGAAAATTCTTACTGTTATACAGTATCAAAGAAAACTATGAATTATGCAATAATTTTAAACTGATTCTATGAGCCTAAACCATTTTGGTAAATGTTGACTATTCTGAAAAATGCAGGTTGTAATACGTATTAGGCTTTCAAACATTATAACTATCAGTTTATTGTTTATTTTTGCATTTTCCTTTCTCTGACTCGAGGAAAATGTGACAAAAAGTAAGATTGTATGTGAACTGCAGCAAAGTAAAGATAGGTTGTATTTTTTACTTACACATAATGTTATTTTTACATGTATTAACTGATTTTATTTACTAATTTCTATGTAGGAAAGAAACAAATAAATGAGTATCTTTCAATTGTTAAAGAGATATGAAAATATATGTTGTTCAAATGTAGCAAAAAAATGAGATTTTTCACTTTTACATGTAAAATGATCTCAATTGTTCTATGTTAGAATACATTTTTGTAAAATTTAGATATGACAAAATAAAACGTCATCAATATTCATTATAGAAAAAAAATAATGAAATAGTCTTAACTTAATAAAGTCGTGAAAATTGAAACTGTTTAGTTTATTCCCAGTCTGTTTAGTCCATTTTTGGTAATATCCTTTTGTCGTGGCTCGCTACTTATACATCCCGCCATTGTGTTATTGTACTATGGTCATTTTTTATACGACTGCAAAAAAATTTTTTGCAGTCGTATATTGGTATGACGTTGGTTTCGTCGTCATCGTCCGAAGTCACATTGGTTTTCGCACAATAACTTTAGTTTAAGTGAATGGATCTCTATGAAATTTTACCATAAGGTTCAATACCACAAAAGGAAGGTTGGGATTGATTTTGGGGGTTATGGTACCAACAGTTAAGGAATAAGGGGCCAAAAAGAGACCAAAAATAGGCATTTTTGTTACTTTCAGACAATAACTTGTGTGTTAGTGTATGGATCTCTCTGACATTGTACCACAAGGTTCCATATCACAAAGGGAATGCTGGGATTGATTTTAGGGGTAATTGCCTCAAAATTTTAGGAATTAGGGGCCAAAAAATGGGCATAAAACAAGCATTTTTCTAGTTTCATTACAATAACTTGTGTGTAAGTGTATGGATCTTTCTGAAATTGTACTACAAGGTTCCATATCACAAAGGGAAAGCTGGAATTGAGTTTGGGGGTAATTGCCCAAAATGTTTAGGAATAAGGGGCCAAAAATAAGCATTTTTATGCCCCCGCCGTAGCGGAGGGGGCATTAAGTTTAACCCTTGTCCGTCTGTACGTATGTACGTACAAACGTACGAACGTACGTACCAAATTGGTTTCCGTTCTCTAACTTTAGTTTGCCTCAACCAAATGTTATGAAACTTATACACAATGCTTATTACCACAAAACACAGATCAAGTTTAAATTTTGGTGGCGTCACTTTTACTGTTCTATAGTTATGCCCCTTTACAAATGGAAAATTGCTGAATTTATCGTTTCCGTTCTCTAACTTAAGTTTGCCTCAACCAAATGTTAAGAAACTTATACACAATGCTTATTACCACAAAACACAGATCAAGTTTGAATTTTGGTGGCGTCACTTTTACAGTTCTAGAGTTATGCCCCTTTACAAATGGAAAAAATGCTGAATTTTTCGTTTCCAATCTCTAACTTAAGTTTGCCTCAACCAAATGTTATGAAACTTATATACAATGCTTATTACCACAAAACACAGATCAAGTTTGAATTTTGGTGGCGTCACTTTAACCATTCTAGAGTTATGCCACTTTAGAAATGGAAAGATTGCAAAATTTTTATTTTCTTTTAAATATCAAGTAATTTGATTAAAATTGGAGTCATCTTCCTTTGTCCATGATTATAGTTGAATCAACTGCAATCAATGCTTTATACAATGCAATGTTAAATTTTGACTTCCACTGATAAAACACAGATCAAGTTGAATTTGGGTAGTGTCACTTTAATCATTATTGAGTTATGCCGCTTTAGAAATGGAAAGATTGCAAAATTTTTATTTTCTTTTAAATATCAAGTAATTTGATTAAAATTGGAGTCATCTTCCTTTGTCCATGATTATAGTTGAATCAACTGCAATCAATGCTTTATACAATGCAATGTTAAATTTTGACTTCCACTGATAAAACACAGATCAAGTTGAATTTGGGTAGTGTCACTTTAATCATTATTGAGTTATGCCCTTTATAAATCGAAAGATTGCATAATTTTTAGTTTCCATTCTGTAACTTAAGTTTGCCCCAACCAAACATTATGAAACCTATACACAATATTCATTACCACAAAACTAAGATCAAGTACAAATTTTTTGTTTCCGTTTTTTAACTTTAGTTTGCCTCAACCAAATGTTATGAAACTTATAAACAATGCTTATTACTACATAATACAGATTAAGTACGAAATTTGATGGCACACTTTTACCATTCTTGAGTTATGTCCCTTTATAAACATAAAAATTGCCAAATTTTATGTTCCATTCTCTAACTTTAGTTTGTCTCAACCAAATGTTATAAAACTTATACACAACCGTTCTAGAGTTATGCGTGTTCACAAATAATAAAATTGCTGAATTTTTAGTTTCTGTTCTCTACTTTAGTTAGCCTCAACCAAATGTTATGAGACTTACACACAATGCTTATTACCACAAAACTCAGATCAAGTTCAAATTTGGGTAGCGTCACTTTTACCGTTCTTCAATTATGTCCCTTTATAACTATATGATATGCAAGCGGGGGCATCATCTGTGTCCACATGTGGACACTATCCACATTTATTCTAGTTTCCAGACAATAACTTGTGTATGGATCTCTCTCAAATTGTACTGCAAGGTACCATACCATAAAGGGAAGGCTGGGATTGATTTTTGTGGGTAATTGCCTCAAAATTTTAGGAATTAGGGGAAAAAAAGGGGCAAAAAAACAAGCATTTTTCTAGTTTCAGGACAATAACTTGTGTGCAAGTGTATGGATCTTTATGAAATTGTACTACAAGGTTCCATATCACAAAGGGAAAGCTGGGTTTGAGTTTGGGGGTAATTGCCCTAAATGTTTAGGAATTTGGGGCCAAAAAACAAGCATTTTTATAGTTTCCAGACAATAACTTGTGTTCAAGTGTATGGATCTCTCTGAAATTGTACTGCAAGGTACCATACCACAAAGGGAAGGCTGGGATTGAGTTTGGGGGTGATGAATCATAAGGGGGTTCAAAAAATTTGGGAGGGGGGATTTTTTTTCTTCATTTTTAGCTCGCCATAATCATTATTAGGGTATCTAGTTAAAAAAAATTGTCCGATGACCCAGCCTTCCAACCATCATGGCCGACTTGGTTAAAAATAGAACACAGGGGTAAAATGCAGTTTTTGGTTTATATCTCTGAAACTAAAGCATTTAGAGGAAATCTGACAGGTGGCAAAAATGTTCATCAGATTTAGATTTATCTGCCCTGAAATTTTCAGATGAATCCGACAACCCGTTGATGGGTTGCTGCCCCTGAGTTAGTAATTATACAAAAATTTTGCAGTTGTTATTATCTTAGATATCATTATAATATATAATATCTAATACTATTAATTATGATTTTAACCTTATTTTACATGATTTCCAAAGCATCAGTAAATACAGGTGAGCGACACAGGCTCTTGAGAGCCTCTAGTTTTCCTTTTTTTTCTTTAAAATTTTCCATTTTAAGTTGGTTATTTCTGATTTATATATAAAAGCAAATAATAATGATATGGTTTGAATAGGTAAATTAAAATTTTTTAAGTTCTTAGACCACATTCATTCTGTGTCAGAAACCTATGCTGTGTCAAATATTTAATCACAATCCAAATTCAGAGCTGTATCAAGCTTGAATGTTGTGTCCATACTTGCCCCAACTGTTCAGGGTTCGACCTCTGTGGTCGTAGCAAGCTGCGCCCAGGGGAGCATTTTATTGTATTCTTGTCTTTCATTTTTATGCCCCACCTAGGGGCATTATGTTTTTCGGTCTGTGCGTCCGTTCATTAGTCTGTCTGTTCGTTCGTTCGTCCATCTGTCTGTCCCGCTTCAGGTTAAAGTTTTTGGTCAAGGTAGTTTTTGATGAAGTTGAAGTCCAACCAACTTGAAACTTAGTATACATGTTCCCTATGATATGATCTTTCTAATTTTAATGCCAAATTAGTGTTTTGACCCCAATTTCACGGTCCACAGAACATAGAAAATGATAGTGCGAGTGGGGCATCCGTGTACTATGGACACATTATTGTTGCTTATGTGCTTTGCCTATATGCCATTTTGTTTTTCTTTGTTGACATGTTTGTTTTTTATAGTGATTAAGGTTATAACACAATGTTGACTGCTGTACCCTATTTTGGACATTTTTGTCGAAAGCTAGACATAGTGATCCGGCGGCGGCGTTAACAAACTTCTTAAAAGCCTAATATTTCAGAAGGTAGAAGATACTTTGTATATAGATGCCTTATGTTATGAAGTTTCCTTCTGTCGTATGTCCATTGTCCTTGACCTTATTTTCATGGTTCAGTGAATGCTTGAAAAAAATTTTAAGATTTTTTGTATTCTTAATTTCTCTCTTATTATGAGTAAGAGGATAACTATATTTGGTATGTGCGTACCTTGCAAGGTCCTCATGCCTGTCAGACAGTTTTCACTTTTCACAGGATCAGTGAACAAGGTTAAGTTTTCGTGGTCAAGTCCATATCTCAGATACTATAAGCAATAGGTCTAATATATTTGATGTATGGAATGATTGTAAGGTGTACATGTCCAACTAGCAGGTGTCTGACCTTGACCTCATTTTCATGGTTCAGTTGTTAAAGTTAATTTTTTGTGTTTTGGACTGTTTTTCTAATATTGCATGCAATAAGTCAACTATATTTGGTGTATGAAAATATTTTACGATGTACATGTCAGTGTGGCCGGTTTTATTTGACTTTGACCTCATTTTTACAGTTCATTGCTCAATGTTAAGTTATTGTGTTTTGGTCTGTTTTTCTTAAACTATGAGCAATAGGTCAACTATATTTGGTGTATGGAATGATTGTAAGGTGTATATGTCTATCTGGCAGTTATCATCTGACCTTGACCTCATTTTCATGGTTCATTGGTCAATGTTAAGTTTTCCTGGTTAAGTTTTTTTCTTAGACACTATATACAATAGGTCAACTATATTCTAAGCATGTAATGATAGTAAGGTGTACATGTTTGTCTAGTATGGATCATCTGACCTTGACCTCATTTTCATGGTTCATTGATCAATGTTAAGTTTTCCTGGTTAAGTTTGTTTCTTAGATACTATGTACATTAGGTCAACTATATTTAAAGCATAGAATGATTGTAAGGTGTACGTGTCAGTCTGGCAGGGTTCATCTGACCTTTACCTCATTGACCTCATTTTCATGTTTTTTTGCTCAATATAAAGATTTCATAGTTTTGTCTGTTTCTTGTATACTATAAGCAATAGGTCAACTATATTTGGTGTGTGGAATGATTTTAAGGTGTACATGTATTTCTGGCTTGGTTTATCTGACCTTAACCTCATTCTCTTTGATTTGGTTAA